CGGTCGACTCTGAGGATCCCCCTTTCAATTGTCTATTTAAACATAATCTGCCAGCTGGCGTATGTTATTTTGTCTTAAAAAGTATATATTTATGCAATCTTGTCTTCTGAGATAAAGTCTGGAATAATACGTCGAGAAAGAAGTAACTGGTTCAGGGAAGGTTTTTGAGGATAACATTTTTTCAAAGATGACTGGTTTCGTTTTATCGTTCATACTTTGCTTACGCGCTGTACATGTGGTTTCAGAATGTACAAAAACATTCTTATTTGACACAGCCTTTGTTGATACTAAACTTACTAATTATTTTGAAACGACTACTCAAGATTCAAAGTTAGATTGCTCTAGAAGATGTCAAGATATAGAATACTGTACAGGGTTTTCGTACAACCCGACTTCTTGGAGATGTGAACTTTATGATGAAGTTATTTCAACTGCAAAAACTGAATTGGCTGCTGGAACAGTGACATACAAGGCAACTGAAGGTATAGTAAACAAATGGGTCCTAAACCTGACTTTTATTTCAATGTTAATTATAGGCCATAATGACTGTCTAATTTCGAGCTCATTAGTCCGGACTTTAATATTAATGATTGATTTTGGTAATGTTATCAAGTTATTAAATCACGTCTATTCGTTTCTGTTTCTATGCTTCATCGCAGGGGTATGTTTTGTACATAATGGCGGTTATTTTGTCCCATTTTCAAAAGTATTTGAATCCTAAAACTTTATCAAAAATTTGCTTCTAACGACATATCTTTATTACACGCATGGATTATTTTGTAAACTGTTCTGACTTTTATTTTCGGCAAATCGTCTGTTCACGTTTCCTCAAGAATGATATAAAATCCAGTTTTGTATCTGATTTTGATAAAAATTGCAAGTAAAATTTGCTTATATAAGTTAAAGCAAAAGAGAGAATTTGACTGTTTATCCATTAAAATTAATGTAGATGGAGTAGGATTTTGATTTTGAAACCAACCCCAGCGATATTAACCTTTACAATCTTATATTTTGACAAATGTTATAACGCCATCAATTTTCCACAAACTTTGGTATGTAAGTATATAGGAAGTTAGACTAGTCATTCTAGAAAAAATCTCCGATCTTTCTAATTTGTTTAGTTTGTGGTCCACCACCAAGCATCCCAAATACCAATACTCAGCCTGCTGATCAATACTATCTACCAGGTTATCTTATGTTGTATGACTGTCTCCGTGGCTCCTATCAGAACTCGTCTATTGTCTGCCTAAAAGAAGGATCATGGAACACATCGGCTGTAAGTTGTCAATATGGTAAGATCTAAAATCTTTATAAAATACAATGTATTTATTCTGTAACTACAGTATGTCCATTAGGAGTTGCTTATAATTATTATTTTGTCCTTTAAACCTGTTGAACTAGTAAATAGAATAACCCCTTCAAAATAATCTTAAAACATACTGGTATCCAACTAATAAGGAAAGATTACACAAAAGTGTCTTATTTAAAATTTTATTAAATATAAAATATTGTTTGTGCAATGTCTAAAAATGAAGGTAAATTTATTCTAGGTAAGACGTGTGCCGATAGGAAAACGTAATGTTTTGTTTTGAAAAATGCCAAATAATCACTTAACTGTAATCTGCAAGCTGCATTTTAAAATAATTTTGTATATTGACTCAACACGCGGCAACTGAGAAATCGCTAGACGTGTCATTCATTAGATTATAAATCTATACGTTTATATTACTTTTTTGTTCATTTCATTTTTTTTTCAGGCCGAAGAATATTAAAGTTGAAGCATTCTATTTGAGGCCACGTAACAACTACTCTGCAGAAGTTTGGTACTGTGATGCACCTGTTGGGATTCATTTGTTGTAGAAAACTGCATAAACACATACCCCAACCTTAAAGTGGTGTTTTTGTATGTAGTAGGTCGAAAAATTTAGCCCCAAATCTAGGTGATCCAAAAGTGTTAACTAAAACAACGTACCGTTATTTTTTTGAACCCAAAAAGGTTTACGTTTTACTGTCCCTATATGTTTTTTTAGGGGGGGGGGGGGGATTAAAAACGATTTTTTATTAACTCTTTTAAAACAAATTCAGATTGACGAAGCAGATAAACAATTGCAAATAACATATTAAGAGAAATATTTTCACGTATGATTACCTTCGTTTCTAAGAATAGGATAATGACCGAGGACAATTTTAGAAAACCCTCGTAAGAACGAGTCAGGGGTCACTATCCGACTTATATACCGTTTCCTAATTAAATAATAGGTAAATATGTTGAAGGATCAATCGATATTATCTCCCATGTAATGTGTAGAAACGTTCCAAGCAATTTTCAGAAATATTAGGAACATCAAATTCTACTTTGAAAAATTCTATATGTAGGATTGAACGATACAAATCTCCCAAAATAAGACTATGCTCTAAAATATATTTTGTAATTTTTAAAATCACTTTCAAAAAAAAAATTTCTGAACGATGTTGTATTCGATACTACATTGAGCAAGAGAAATACATATTAATCATTAACGACACGTGATGAGTGCTGTATTACGTT